AGCTATGGGAGGAATTCTGGGAGTTGAAGTCCACAAGTCTTAAAATTGCCAAGTTTGGAGACCTCTGGTTTAGTGGTTAAGATCCTGGGCTAAAAACCAGGAGACTGTGAGTTCTAGTCCTGTCTTTGGCATGGAAGATGGATGAGTGACTTTGGGAAAACAACCAGGAGACTGGGATTTCTAGTTCCACTTTATCCATGAAAGTTGGATGGGTGATTTGGGGCCAATCACCAGGAGACTGGGAGTTCTAGTCCTGCCTTAGGTGTGAAAGCGGGCTGATATTGAGCTCTAGTAAATGGAAAAATCACGTTCCTTTAAAGTGGGATGGTCAGATTGGGAATAGAAAATTCTTAAGCAAACCATTAGATGGTAGCAGCAGGATGCAGGATTATTTTTTGCTGCCATCTAGGGGTCATTTGGATACCGTATTTCCAATCCAAATTTGGTAGCGCTACAAGGAAGGGAGGGAGGGAGGGGGAGAAGAAAGAAAAGAAGTATAGAGAGAAAGAAACAAAAGAAAAAAGAGAAGGGAAGGGAAGAAGTAGGTATACAGATTGAGGGAGGGAAGGAAGGAACTGTGGTTGTAACAATTCTATTTGATCTCTCTCTCTCTCTCTGTCTCTCTGACACACAGACACACGCACACATACACACAAAATGCCTAGTTGACAAGGAGAAAAATTAAAACTGAAAAACAATTAAAACTGATCAATTCCCACCCCTTTTAATTCATTCCCACCCACACGGTCAGTCATGGCAAAGATTATATAAAGTTTTCTTTCCATAATCTTAAAAGCATACATTGCCATTTAAAAAAATGAGTAACATGACTTCATTAGCTTCATCAGAATCTTACACCTTTTCCTAACAAAACATCAGTAAAATCCTTCACATTTATTTTAGATCAAAATTCACAAGGAAAGTAAGCCGAGGAAGAAAAGTCTGAATAACATAAATAAAACAAAACCAAACTTTCATCCAAACAGAACATTTCTTATTCCCCTTTTTCCATCTCATCTTTAAAAAAACTGATTTGGTTGCCAATTTATTCTTTCGTCATCATTTCCCCTCCAACAGATATGTACTTTTTACTGCCTTCTGGGGTCCCAGGGAGTTTTAAAAAGTGAAAAATCCCCGGGTAATCCCCAATCTCCTTGAAAGGTCGTCTAGATTAGCTCTAAGAGATCTTGTCACCTTCCACAAAAACTTTGTCCTTGGCTGCCATCTCTTGAAATAACCCCAGAATGCACGTTTGTTCCTTTGTCAAAAACTGCAAAACCAGAAAGCAGTGCTGAGCAGATGGGCACCTTCTAACTTCTTCCGCAAAACATTTGCAGGAAATAAGAATCCCCTACAAGCAGAAATATATATTATTTCCCACACAACAAAATAAAGTGGAGGTGGCTTAATTGATTGCTTTGTTTGAAGAAAAAAACATAACTAATAGAATAACTGAAGATCTTGGAGATCTAGTCCAATAATTTGCTCAAGCACAAGACCCTACACCATTTCTGACAGAGGTTAGTCCAGTCTCTTCTTAAAAGCTTCCAGTGATGAAGCTCCCACAACTTCTGAAGGCAACTTCTGTTCCATTGGTTGTTTCTCACTGTCAGAAAATTCTTCCTTATTTCCAGATTGAATCTCTCCTTGATCAGTTTCCATCCATTATTCCTTGTCTGGCCTTCAGGTGCTTTGGAAAATAGGTTGACCCCTTCTTTTTTCTGCCACTTGAAAATTGTTTCTGGATTTTGTGTTTCTGATCGGGGGGAAAAATAGAAAACTTTGATTTTGTTGATTAGATGGGTTTGTTGTAACAGAAACGGCTAATATATATTATTGTGTAAAAGTAAAAAAAAATGAGGATGTAATGCTACTTTCTACAGTGTCAGAGTCAGAAGTCAACACCTTTGTTTTCCCTTTTTCCTCTTCTATCTCACACTTTCTCCTTTTTCTGTTTCTTCCTCTCATTTTTCATGGTTTTCATTTTCCTTCTATTTTATATTCTGATGAACTAATAAAATTGTAAACCAAGAATAAATAGGAATTCCCACATGGATTCAGGCAGAAGATGCTTTTCAATCGGATAAGATCCAGAATAATAATAGCACTTAGCCTTATATAGCACTTCACAGTGCTTTACAGCCCTAAGTGGTTTACAGTCAGCCTATTGCCTCCAAAAATCTGGGTCCATGTCTAAAAAAATAGGGTCTCTTATAAGGAGCTTTCTTAATGGGGACATGGAGGGCCATATTTTTCTGTTTGCCAACACGATAGAAATTGTTTGCTATCACCTACTTTTAACTCCTCAGTGTAGCCTACAGGGTAGAGGTCTTCCATCCAAAATTTCTCCAGATCTGGCACTGCTCAGTTTATCAGTCAGCTAAGATCAACCAATAGCTACCCCTAGCTCTGCTGTATCCAGGATCTAACCTGTTAAAAGAGCCATTTTGGTAGAGTGATTAAAGTACTAGACTAGAAACCAGGAGACCGTGAGCTCTAGTTCTAACTTGGACATGAAAACAGCTGGTTCCCGAGCCAGTCACTCTCTCTTAACCCTAGGAAGGTTGACAGAGTTGGAAGGGACCTTGTAGATCATCTAGATTCTAGTCCAACCCCTGCCCAAGCAGGAGATGACCCCTCCCCCCACCATTTCTGACAAATGGCAATCCAGTTTCTTCTTGAAAGCCTCCAGTGATGAAGCTCACACAGCTTTCAAAGGCAACTTCTATTCCATGGGTTGATTGTTCTGTCAGAAAATTTCTCCTTATTTCCAGGTTAAATCTCTCCTTGTTCAGTTTCCATCCATTATTCCTTGTCTCTGTGGCAGTCCCTCAAATATTGGAAGACTGCTATCATGTCTCCCCTGGTCCTTCTCTTCACTAGCCTAGCCAGTCCCAGTTCCAGTTGTTCATGCCCAGTTCCAGTCCCTTCATCATCCTGGTTGCTCTTCTCTGCACTTTTTCTAGAGTCTCAACATCTTTTTTATAATGTGGTGACCAAAACTGGATGCAGTAGGTGTGGTATTAGTACCTCACTTGATCTTGATTGTATCCCTCTGTTAATGCAATTTAGGATTGCTCTGGCTGGCTGTTGCACACTGCTGCATATTCAATAAAGGGAATAACTCTTTAAGTAACTCCATGCGTTGTTCCTACTTCTTAGGGCCTGGCAATCTTGTGGGAATTGGAGTCCAGCAAGCCTCTACCAATGAGTAAAGGACATCTGCAACAATACAGTTCAGCAAAAGCTCACCTCTTGTAAGGAGAACAACAGACAGAGCCTGAGAGTGGGGAGTTAAGCAAGCCATCAGCCTAGCATCTGTTATGTTTCCACAAACGGTCCAACTCAAATCTTTCTTGAATTCTATTGACTTTTTTCTGGTGCCAATCTAGTATTGAACTTTAGTTGACTAGATTCTTGTGTATAGGCTCGAACAATAAACCTGCAGCATAATGTACGTTTTTAGTGAACTGCAACTTAAAGTACGGTTCCAATTCTTTGAGCCCTACACATCCTTTGAAGAGATTCAGAAAAGAGTCCATCTTGAAGGGTGGAACACTGAAAGCAGAGTTTGGCGCCAGAAGATGATGCTTGGCATGTCCTTTGCCACCATCTCCTTGGCAGCTGAGCATCTCGGTGAAGAAGCAATCACTATGGCAACACTGATGTCATTGCTTTGACAGAAGTACAGTGGTGGTAACTGCAGGTGAGGCTCTTACCTCCCACCTACATGCACGTTGTCTGGCTTCAAAAGCAGAGGATATTAAGCAAAGCAGTACATGGTTAGAACAGCTTGGCTGAGTGTCCCGAGCTTTGTAGGTATCTGGATTCACAGAATGAGCAAACACAAACGAAGGTAGAGGCAGCATCCCCTCCCCCAACCTTCCTGGAAGAAAAACAGGAGAGTCCACCCAGCTTTTTTTAAAAAAATCATTTTATAGGAGAGAAAGAGCAGAAATAAACAAGAGACAATCTGGCTTGATTTTGGTGTTGTCAAGAAGGATGTGGCGACACTTCCAATAGTTTTCTTTCTCCAAGGAAACACAACTTACAATTATTCGGTTTATTTCCACAATCCAGAATACAGGGATAAGACCACCCATGAGAAATACAGGCTTCTGTGATGACGCAGGGCGTGGCACAAAGGCAACACAATCAGATAATCAGTAGGAGTCCCTTTATAAGCTCCAACTTTGCCCCCAATGTCCTGATTACCTTCTGGGCTGGAGAAAAACTCTTTGAGGAACAACCTTTGGCTGCAGAGAATCAAGTCCAAAATGTGGTCAACAAAAACTGTAACCATAAGTCCAATCAAGGCAAGATGAGGTAATTAGTCCAGCAGGGCAAGAGAAGGAATTCCAGACGTGAACGGCAGTAATTCAACCCAGTTGGGAGGATGCCAGGAATGCAGATAACCAAAGTCAACACAAGATAAACTCATGTTTGTTCCCAGCAGGCACAGCACTCAGCTTGCATCTCTTTTAAATTGTCTTCCCAGGTGTGGCTAATGAAGGGAATCAGGGCCCTTTCCTCCCCCGTAAGTCACGCAACCCACGTTGCTCTCTTCTCCGTTCTTCCCTGCGTGCCCTAGGATGAAGAGGGGGTGGGCCTGAGTCTTCCTCTGAACCCCCTCTCCCTTCTTCTACCTTTTCTCTGCTCTGCCCAGTTGGACTTTGCCCTTCCACAGCCTCCTACACAGCCAATGGAGCCACACTCCCACTCCCTGTCAGCTGTTCATCTTCCTCCTCAGATTCAGACTCCAACAAGAGGCATGACAGATTCTCTACTTCAGACTAACTCCTTAACAAGACTAGCTTCTGCTTAAAATTTCTCAGGAAACGTCTTGGAACCTCAAATTCTACTCTAGGCCATGTGCCACAGGTTGGCTGGGTCGAGACTTCTCCTACTCAAAGAAAAGGCAGCAAACACTCCTAAAAGATATTCAGTTACAGTTTATTTATTTTTGTCGCCTGAAATTATTCCACGCTTTTTTTAAAATTATTTTCTCTTTTAAACATGGCTACAGAACAGTAGTAGCAATCCATCAGTAAAAGCAGCTAAGGATAAAATGTTGGCATTAGTTGTTGGTTTTTTTTTTGTCTCTTTCTTCCCCTCACTGAGTTTTATCGAACAGGATTAAGGGGTATAAGGCAGAAACAGGAGCATTTGTGGGGTTGTGTCTGTGTTAAAAAAGAAGAAAAGAAATCAAGATGGCTGCACAATTGAACCACTCAAGCTTTTTTTTATTTTAGGTGCCTGGGACCCATACAAAAAGTGAGGGGGGCACAATCTTGACTAAACACACCTGTCGTCCCATTCCCCCCCCCCCCCCCCCCCGGCCAAAAAATTCAAACAATGAACATCACCCTGAAACATTTGTGGCACAACATACGAATTAAGACTCGAACCAATGGTGGGTTTTTTGTTGTTGTTGATATGGTTATAAAAACAGAGAGTTCAGAAATACAAGGGATTTGAAATGTGGAATGATCCAACCACATTCAAGAGGAAAAAAAACCAAAGATTTTTATTTATTTATTTATTTATGCGCACCTGTGTGTGTGTTTATAAGCATACCTGGTTTTTTAAAATCTCTTACATCGCCAAAAGAACTGAATATTTATATTTACCTGCATTAACTTTGAAAAGGAACATAAGACAAAACCTTTGCCTTATTATTATTATTTAAAAAAACAACAACCCAAGGATTGAAGCGACTGTTTCATTGAAAGAAAGCCTAGCATGGAAAAATAAAATAAAACCAAAAGCGTATTTTTAAAAGAAAACACTTAAAAAAAAAAACTTTTATCACGTATCTGAATAATCGCATAGGAGGATGAAGAAAAGTTAAGATAGTGGTCATACTTTCAGGGGGATTTATTTATTTATTCATTAGATTTTTATCCCGTCTTAATCCGGCGAACGTACTTAATACTCCTTCCTCCTCTTTTTTCTCCAAAAATAACAACCCTGGGAGGTAGGCTGAGCTGAGAGAAAAGGTCTAGCCCAAAATCGCCCAGCTGGCTCTCATATCTGAGATGGAACTAGAACTAAGGAGACATTTCCTGACCGTTAGAACAATTAATCAGTGGAACAACTTGTCTCCAGAAGTCGTGAATGCTCCAACACTGGAAGTTTTTTAAAAGATATTGGATAACCATTCGTCTGAAGTGGTGTAGGGTTTCCTGCCTAGGCAGGGGGTTGGACTAGAAGACCTCCAAGGTCCCTTCCAACTCTATTATTCTATTCTATTCACCATCTCCTGATCTCTAGCCCGGTGCCTTCATCGCGAAATCACCAGAGGCTCTGAGAAACTGAACACAGGAAAGACAATTCAGTGCCCATCTCTGGATGTTAAAAGGCCACATTGATTCTGAACTAACCTTCCTCTCCCTGTAGCCCAATAGGCCTAGCAGCTTCTAGAATTTTCTACGGGGCTGATGGCCAGCTGTAGACCAATATGGCAGGAGCGTTTCCATGAAACACGAGCCAATAGTTGAGGAGAGAACCAGTGGAAAACACCTCCCTAAAAGGGGATGCACGGAAAGGTGAAATTTGCCCTTGAAATTTTGGACATAAAACAGAAACCAAACCTTGGCAAATCCTAACTCAAACGATTGACCGCTCAATCTTCACTCCCAGGTAAAAACCTAAGCATTTTCCCTACCCTTAGAAACAATCATATATATATAAACAGAAGTGGTATAATTACCCGTCCTAATTCCTACATCTAGCATAATCTGAAAATGCGGCTTTAGGAATTCAAAAATTTATTCCCAACAGCCCACCCAGTGTTCTCTTATATGTGTGTATATGCATATGTGTGTGTGTGTGTGTGTGTGTTGTCTATACACATACACACACAGATATATGCACATCTATGCAAGTATATTCTTTTCCCCTGGTCGAAAGAACTCGAGGCATATATAAACAACAAAAAAAAAAGTTAAGATGGGCTGGACCAAGGATGTATATAATACAGAATACAGGAGGGGCAATTCTCTTTTGGTCTGCCTTTTTAAGCGCAACAACAACAACCAAAAGACGCCAAAGTTGTTTACACCGTACTCTTCGCGAAACAAAACAAAAATAATGAAACAAACAATGAATTAACAAGTCATAAATAAAAGACAGGTCCCAGACCTGTTCTTTCTGAACTTTCTTCCTTTTTTCTTTTTTCTTTTAAATAGGCGTATTATGTAAATTGTATTTACAAAGAACATCACTTTGCATAAGGATTGAAAGGACCAAACGAACGAACAAACAAGGGGAGGAAAGAAATTGGATGAGCTGTTGCTAATGTTTCTTCTCTTGATTTTCCGCCTATGTTCTTCTTCTTTTTCGTTTTTCCTTTCTATTTCTCGCTGAAGAACAAAAGATATGGGAAAGCATCTACAGAAAAGGCCAAGGTTAAAAGAAAACCGGAAAAAAAAACACGGTGCATGTTCTTGTGTACAAAAAAAAAAATATTGACACACAATTTTAAAAAAGTACAAAAAAAAAAGAGAGAGCAAACCAGAACCGAGAGATGACCCTCCCCGTTCCCCTAAACCGCCCCACCCCAAAATCTTATTCCGGCTATTCAGTCTTGCCTTCTTCACTTCTGCCCCTTAATTTAAACAATGTTGAATTCGAGAGTACGAAGCTGAAAGAATTAGGTCTGGTGTGTGAATTTCCACCCGGAAAAAGGAAAAAAAAAATATATCATACTTCACTATTTCACACACGGAGCACCTAAAAATATGGATGTCCTCAGAAACCTGCTCTCTAGAGGCAAATGCCAAAAGTCTAAGTTCTCTGCTTTTTTTTTTTATGGTTTAGAAATCATTCTCTTCTCTCCCTGTCAAAAAGAAAAAAAAATTTCTACAAATGCGCCACGGGGGATTTTTTTTTTCTTCACCAAGCTTCAGTATAGCGGACGTCCACTTCCTTCAAATTGGGCAATTTAGCCTGGTGGGGAGGAAAAGAAAGAAAAACGAGAGATGAGATAGAAAGAAAGATGGAGAATTCATTACATGAGGGCTCCTGGGTGCTCTCTCGGCCTGCTTGTAAGTCGTTTTTTCCCCTGAGAATGTTGTAACTTCAAATAATTATTTAAAAATCCTCCATTGTTCAATTAAGGACTGCCTGTATGATAAGGAAGTTTGTCATGTTCTACAAGTTCTGTTTGTTAAAGCTGCTATAATGTACTGTGCAGGTGGCAACTGTAAAGAAACAGGAGCTATACATTGTCATGTGATTGCTAATTGGCCAGGCACACGGTGATTGACTGTAATGGCTTTGCGACAACATGGGATAGGGGTGGAATAGAAGTAGTGTAGTGTATCATAGCATAGCATAGAATAGAGAAAAGAATAGAAAATAGAATAGAAAATCAACTTGAGAATGGAATAGGAATGGGAATAGGAATGGAATAGAATGGAATAGAATATAGAACAGAATGGAAAATAGAATAGAGAAAAGTAAAGAACAGAATAGAAAATAGAATAGAAAATAGAACATAATAGAAAATAGAACAGAAAATAGAATTGAATTGAACTGAGAATGGAATCGGAATGGGATAGAATGGAATAGAATATAGAACAGATTAGAATAGAGAGAAAAAAGAACAGAATAGAAAATAGGAATAGAAAATAGAATAGAAAATCAACTCAAGAATGGAATAGGAATGGGAATGGAATAGAATGGAATATAGAACAGAATGGAAAATAGAATAGAATAGAGAAAAGAAAAGAACAGAAAATAGAATAGAAAATAGAATTGGATCGAACTAAGAATGGAATAGGAATAGAATACAATTCTTTATTGACTGAGTGTGATTGGAAACCCAAGGAATCTGTCTCTAGTGCATAAGTTCACGGTGTACATATAAACAGCAGTAATAGGTCATAAATCATAGTTACAACCGTTAATCATAAGTTACAAACAACAATTGATAAGTCATAAGAAACAAACAGGAGAAGATAGCAAGAAAGATGAGAAAAGATGAGAAATGAGTCAGTGCTATGGGAATTAAGGGTTCAGCAGAGTGGTGGCATGGGGGATAAACTATCTTTATGTTTGGTTATTTTGGCATGCAGTGTTTTATCGTGGCATCCTGAGGGGAGAAGTTGAAACAGTTCATGTCCAGGATGTGAGTGGTCTGTAGGTATTTTCTCGGCTATCTTTCTGGTTCATGCAGTATACAGGTCCACAATGGAAGGCAGACTGGTTGCAATTGTTTTTTCTGCAGTCCTAACTATTCCTTTAAAGTCTGTACCTGTCCTGTTTGGTTGCTGCGACAAACCAGACAGTTATTGAGGCACAAATGACAGGCTCAACAATTCCTCTATAGAACTGTATCAGCAATGAATATGTAAATTAATTTTTGCAAACTAGCTTCTTGTCCTTCTGACACTGGCTAAAAACATTGCCCCCCAACACCTGGTTACAGATACATGAAGGATGCTTTAGAAATGCAACATACCTTGAGGTCTTCGTAGGTATCTGCTGAGAGCTTGGTGCTGTTCATGTTTAAACTACAGAGGCTTTTCATGGCTAGGAAATAAACACAGAAGGATGTTGGTCTGTATGTGGATTGCAAAGGATGGCATTAAAAATGGGAAATGGTTGAGGACTGGCAGTTGACATCCTGCAGTCAAAATCAACATCTGGACTTTAAAGAGCACTTAACCCCTTCATTTTGGATCAACTTGTCCCCGAAATTAATTTCAGAAAGCTGATCCAACATTTTATGTTTTCCTTGATTAAAGGATTAAGGGACCGGAGACAAAAGCATATGAAGAACGTTTGGAGAAATTGGATATGGCCAGTAGAGAGAAAAGAAGGACTTTTGGGTGACATGATAGCAGTATTTCAGTATTTTGAGGGGCAGCCACAAAGGAGAAAGGGGTCAACCTATTCTCCAAAGGACCTCAAGGCAGGACAAGAAACAATGGATGGAAACTAATCAAGGAGAAAGGCAACCTGGATTAAGGAGAAGCTTCCTAACAGTGAGGACAATTAACCAGTGAAACAGAAGTTGCCTCCAGAAGTTATAGGGGCTTCATCACTGGAGGTTTTTAAGAAGAGATTGGACAGCCATTTGTCCAATCCTCTCCAATATCTTCTTGTTTGAGCAGGGGGGTTGGACTAGTAGACCTCCAAGGTCCCTTCTATTCTGATTTGATGAGGTGCTAACAAATTGGAATTGACTCTTTGCAAACAACTACAAAGATTTTGGAGCTGGTAAAAATCATCCTCTTCCGTAGTGCATTTGGTGAGGGGGAAAAAATTAACGGGGACAGCAATGCACATAATTGATTTTTTGGTTCTGATGTTGGATGGTAATTTCATGGATATTTTAAAGTGTGTATATCACAGGCTGTCAAACCTTAAGTATTGACTGAGCAATATTTTCTCCACAAACACATAATATAGAATCTTGACATTTTTTTTAGAAAATGACTTTGGAGATGACAAAATCCGCTGCTCCTTGATAGGAAAATCCCTTACTTCATTGAGTTTGTAAAACAGGAAAAGTAGTAACATGTGCTTTACAAACCATAGTAAGTTAGATTCATCCAATGCACTTGGCCACAAACAAGCAATATTATTGCTTTAAAAACTATCAAATTGAAGAATTACAAGAAATCAAATTCACAGGCATTGAATTACTCCAAAACTGTGGCGAGAAAACTGCAGGGAGTAGTTCAGAGAGTCACCAGCAGTCAACACTGATTCAGAGACACAAACACACACACAAATCCCCAAAAGCCAACAACTCCCATTTCAGTAATGTAAATAGACTTCACTGCAGCTGTACAAAGGATTAAACAACCAAAATATTGTTCATTTAATATCTGCTCATGTGTTCGAGCTTTAATCTGTGTAATGTATGGGGAAAATGTTTTTTTTTTTAAATCTACATATATTACTTATTATCCGAAATGAGATTTCCTATATTTGAAAAGATAGGTAAGCCCACAATAAATCCTCTGGATCTGCCTGTTGCACTTCATTATTATCCCAAATGTGCTTTGTCCAAAAAAAAGGAGGGGGACTTTGTTTTTCCTTGAAGACATCTTGCTTCTCATTCAAGAAGCTTCTTTGGTTCTGATTTCCTTCTTACTTTTTGTACGACTTCAAATCTTGAATCTAGAAACTCTACCTTGCGAGATTATCACCATTAGTTGCAAAAGTGATAATTCCAAACATGGAATGATTAATTCCAAGGAGCAACGAACTGATCATTTTTATTTTCTTTCCATTTTGTAATGTGGATCATACGTGGGCTATGTTAATGAGTGCTGTGGTGACCTAGAGGTGGAGCTCTCACCTCACAATCAAGAGGCTGTGAGTTCTAATCCTAGGTAGAGGCAGATATTTCTCTCTCTGGGCACAATGAAAATATATCTGCTGAAAAAAAAAACTCCGCACTGGCGACAGAAAAGGTATCCGGCCAGTAAACACTCGGCTCCATTCAGTTGCCACAAAGGACTATGCGGTCATTAGATGATGATGTATAGGTCTATGTTAGTCTCTTTACCACGCAATTCCCTTTATCCTTCCCTGCAAACATATTTTCTCTCTTTCTCTCCTTTTATTACAAATCTCTCTCTTTCCCCCCATCCAGCCAAAAGAAGAGGAGTGATACTGTTCTTTGATTAATGCACTGCGCTGAATTGGTCCCCACTCTTCCCATCACCACACCAGGGTTTTTCTTCACTTACAGCTCAGGGCCAGCAAGCCAGCATCGGTAACGGGCGTTTCACACAAGTTGAGCACTTGAAGCATTGTGAGGTGTTCAGAGAGGAGCCGTAAACCTGCATCCCCAAACTCCAGGGAAGAAAAAACAAAAAACAAAGAAGGAATGTTAATAAGCAGCAGTCAGTGGCTGGAAAATGAACGAACTCTAAACCTGAGCTTGCTTGTTTTCTTGCAGACCTTTCATAACCCAAACTGGGTAACATCAGTAGCATTGATGACGTTACCTAGTCAGATCGTGAAATGTCTGCAAGAAAACAAGCAAGCTTAGAGAGCACTAAGGACTCTGTTCTAACCAAGGCTTCCTGAGACCATAATTAAGCAGACGCTTAGTTAAAACAACTGTTTTATTTCATGGTCATGGTCATGGTGTGCACTGAAGATGGTGTTTGATTTCATTGTACGAGGTGCAATGACAATAAAGTAAAGTAAAGGTAAAGGTGAAGGTGAAGGTGAAGGTAAAGGTAAAAGTAAACTACAGTACAGTACAGTACAATACAGTCAAGTCAAATCAAGTCAAGTCAAGTCAAGTCAAGTTCCCAAACTTCTGAGAGGCTCTTTTTTTGCCCTCCCTCAGCCTCCTTGTGCGTACCTTGCACTTACCTGCATCCAAAACGGGCCATGTGGGGACTCCTGGGAGGGGAGGGGCAGGGTGGGCAGGCCCAGCCAGAAGTGGGATTTAGGGGTCCTCCAAACTGCACAGAAACTTAGCTAGGGTCTCTCCCAAACCCCTGCGAACCCCCCAGCAGCCCAGCCCTGGGATTTGAGGTGCAAGAAAAGATGCGCGGAACAGGTGGACTTTGGAAGAGGAAGGAATGCACCTGAGAGGAATCTCCTTGAAAAGGGCTGGGGGCTTCTTGCACTGAATGAAAGCAGCGACACACTCTGGGTTGTCCCAGGTTGGAGTTAGCACAAAAACCTCCCTGCCCGTCACGGCGGCGGCTTGCACAGCCCGTACCTGAGTGGACCACAGGTTCAGCTGCTTGAGTGAAGGCAGTTTAATTAGATGCTCTGCACAGGCACTTGTGACGTTGGTAAAGGCCAGGCTGAGGTTCTCCAGATTTCCAAAAGAGCCCGAGCTTAAGAGACGAGCCAAGTCCGCATCCTAAAAAAGGAGAAGATTGCAGAGATCAGTCAAGGAAACTCTCCCCTTTCCCCCTCCCCACAGAGAAATAGGGCACGGCATTGACAGAGGAGCCTCTGGAGTGATGCGGTGGCCTAGAGGTGAAGTTTTCGCCTCACAATCAGGAGGCTGTAGGTTCGATTCTAGGTAGGGGCAGATATTTCTCTCTCTAGGCATGATGAGAATATAGTTTTTGAGTATAGTTCCGCATTGGTGACAGGAAAGGCATCCAGCCAGTAAACACTCAGTTGCTCAGACTCCACCCCGCAAGGGATTAGGGAGTCGTTAAAAGAAGATGATGACAACTGGCAGAGGAGTCTCTAATTCTATAAATTATACTGTACGTGCCTTCTATATAATGCCCGATACTGGAATTGTGCAAGGCATTTCCTGTGATTTACTCCATGGAAGCAAAAGCTGGAGTTTGAGGAAGGAAGATATTGTCTCTTTTGGACTTTGTCGTTAGGAAAGACTCTTGAGAATGGGCAAGCAGGAAAAGAAACCAATGGATCACTGAATAACTAACCCAGAGGTCCCACTTAAGGCGTACTTGGCTAAGGCTCAAATTATCCCACTTTGCCCCTTTATGTGAAGTCCTAGAAAGATCTGATGATGAGAAAGGTGGAAAGGAAGAGAAGAAGAGGATGACAAGCAGCAAGGATGACTTTGTACTGAAGGGGAATGGAAATATTAAGGTTTTCTACATGAGTGTCACACACACACACACACACACACACATTTATGGATCCAACGGCATTCAGCAGCTTGGATCCCCACCATTTTCATATCCCACCAAACAGAAGGAAACACTCGATCCTGTAACTCCCAACTAAGTGGGCAAGGCCCTCAGTTCTGTTAACCCAGGCACCTAAGGCTGCTGACCAAGAGGTCATATTCTCCTAATGGTGCCAGTGACTTTGGCATCCAGAAACTTGGAGCCACCCTTCCCATAAACACCCACGTGGAATGCTCTTCCGTTGCATCAGGACAAACTTAATTGAAAAGCCCTTGGTGGCCTCTGCAGTGCCACCGCATGACTCTGTCTAACAATCCTTGGGCGGGGCGGGGTGGGTGGGGACATGCTACCCGGTTCTCTTACACAACAATACAATGGCTGGCTTCCCATCCCAGGTTGACCCGGGGCCAACTGAAGACCTAGAGACCGCATAAGACGCCTCTAGCTAAGCTTGGTTAGTTTTAACCCGAGTTTGCTATTTTTCTGCAACTCTTGTGTGTTATGAAGCCCAGCCTATGTAGGATTAACCCAGATTAAATCTGGGTTAATTCGGCAAACAGATTAAACAAAGGTTAAGTGGAGATATGGGGGCATTTAAATCTAAGCCACCATTCAAAGGAGACGTAGATCAGTCACCAGTACAAAAGCTGGGCTTTCTTCACACACACCATCTTAGGGCGAGAGGTCTTTGGTATGTTCTGAGCTTGCTTGTTTTCTGGTTTTCTTTCTCATCTGAGCAGCAATTATGTTAGCTGGTTCCGGGTAATGAAACCTTTGCAAGGAAGCAATCAAGCTCAGAGAGCACCAAGGGCTCCTCATGTCAACTCAGAGCTACAAATAATTCTCCTCTATTAGTAGCATCTTAGTGTATCTTGGCCCAATCCTGCAAACTAGGGGGAAAGCTTTCTTAAGACTGCCTTCCATATAGCACAGGCAAACAATCCAATCAGGGCCATCCTTTGTTTAAAAAAATAAAAATACCCCCAGTGCTTCATCAGAAGGAAAACTGGGACCTTCGGATGGAGCAGAATCCCACTAGCCCCATTAAGAAGAGTCCAAAATGATTGGTGCTATCTGAGGCAGTTCCTCCTCTTGTCCATCAACAACCTCCGGCTGCTCTCTGAAAATCTGAGTCCCACAGGCTCACGCTGAGATCAGAAGGGGAACTCACCGTGGATTTTGATGGCAGTGTTAGCCTGGTGGGGCCTCCTTTCCTTTGCTGCAAAAGAACAGATTCATTGCTTACAAAATGTGGCAACCATGGATCTACAGTAGTAACAGGGGTGGTCTTCAGCAGGTTCTGACCAGTTCTGGAGAACCAGTAGTGGAAATTTTGGGTAGAACTGGTAAATCCCACCTCTGACTGGCCCCGCCAACCCCATCTATTCTCTGCTTCCCATTGAGTCCCAGCTGATTGGCTGGGTTTTCTTTGGTTGCCCTGCCCAGGAGAACAGAGCTGGAAAGCAGGTGAGGGGGGTGGGGAAGGAATGGGGATTTTGCAGTACCCTTCCCTTGTCATGCCCACCAAGCCCACCCACCAAGCCACACCACGCCCGCAGAACCAGTAGTAAAGAAAAATCGAATCCCACCACTGAGTAATAAAGCATAGGCTGGAGTCTGCAGAAGGTCCAGAGTTCAAGTCCGCATCTTCTCTCTACTACATGCGTGTCCAACCTTGGCAACTTTTAAGACCTGGGGTCTTCAACTCCCAGGCTGGCTGGGGAACTCTGGGAGTTGAAGTCCCCAGGTCTTAAAGTTGCCAAGGTTGGACTCCCCCCTGATGTATATAATGATCTCTATTGCTATTGCTCAGTGCTGGATAGTATAAGCAAAAAATAAAAGTACATCCTTCAATGGATTATAATCAAATGTCTTCTCTGTGATGCTGCCTGCCTTCTGGAATGATACGTTTCCCCACCCAGCATCTACACTGCTCCCACTGTCAGGATTCTGATTTCTGATTTTTTTGAAATTGCCCCAAATTTGATTCTTCTAAGCTTTGGATTAGGACGGTGGTAGAGGCCCTTTGGGTTTTAGGGTTATCCTTTTGGTCTTTTCTCTTTTACGGAGACAGTTTTCCAGTTGGTAATATTCCCTTTTCTTTATTATTGGTTGTTTTCTTTTTTATTCCTTTCAAACTGTGAGTCACCTAGAGATAATGTGGAGCTGGATGGCCTCAAATTGAAGATATTAAATATAAATAAAGGGTTGAAATGGAAAGGCGCATGGACATGCCTAGCCAAAGTATTAAAGGAGTATTTTTTTTTATTCCTTACGATTTATATTGACTGTTCCCTAGAATGATTTGATTGCTTATTGTACTCTATGACTATTATTAAGTGTCGTACCTGGTGATTCTCGACTCTTGATGAATGTATCTTTTCTTTTATGTGTACTGAGAGTATTTGCATCAAGACAAATTCCTTGTGTGTCCAATCACACTTGGCCAATAAAAGAATTCTGTTCTGTTCTGTTCTGTTCTATTTTATTCTATTAAAAAATTGTGGTTGTTTAAGAATCCATTTTGAGTACACTTCAATAGCTTAAGCAATTAAACTAATCTGTAAACCACCCAGAGTCTACTCTAGACACGTCAGCTGACACATAAGACTAGTAATAACTAACTAACTAACTAACTAACTAACTAACTAACTAAGGCTTAGAGTCCACTCTGAATTTCTAGTCTCTGTTCTTTGATTGTGTGGAATTTCTGACTAACCAGCAGGTGGCAACATCTAGCTAATTTGGGTGGATCATGAAAAAGCTAAGCAGGACCACACCTGGCCAAATCTTGGATGGGAGAACCTCAGGAAACAAGTCTGTGGGCCAGAACTGTATGTCAAACCAAGTCTTGGAGGAATGGTCCTTCTTTCGTTCATGAAAGCTACCACATGTGAGCAAGGAGCCAAGTCTTCACTCAAAGGAGTCTTGAAATGGGCTTCCATGTGTGTTATACCCTATATTTGGATCAGAGGTGGTATTCGGCAGGTTCTGATCAGTTCTGGAGAAACAGTAGTGAAATTTTGAGTAGTTTGGAGAACCGGCCAATACCACCTCGGACTGGCCCTGCCAACCCCATCTCTTCTCTGCTTCCCATTGAGTCCCAGCTGATTGGCTGGGTCTTCTTTGGTTGCCCTGCACAGGAGAACTGAAAAGCAGGTGAGTGGAGTGGGGAGGGAATGGGATTTTGCAGAATCCTTCCCCTGTCAAGCCCACCAAGCTACACCCACCAAGCCATACCCACAGAACTGGTAGTAAAAAAATTTGAATCCCACCACTGGTTTGGATCCCATGAAGAAAACCGGAGAACACCTTCCCTTCCAAAGTAGAAAGGTAGAATACAAATCCGAGAAGCTCACCAGCTCTTTGAGTTCCCTCTGCCGGTCACAAAGCTGCTCGTACATTTTCTTCCCCACATCAGTGCTCTCAAGGGTTGAGATGATCTGAAGCTGTGTGTCCTTGTTCTCAATGATGTTGTACTCCAGCATCAAGCACAGGATCTGAGCAACAAGGAGAGAGAAAGGATGGCCCATCATTGGAGGTAGGCTCACAGCACGGCCCAGACTCATTTCTTGTCATCTCTTCAAAAGGGCAAACCCTGTAATTCTTCATGATTCCACAAGTTAGGAACCAGGAGGAGCCCATGGTGTTCTTTGAACTTGGTGGTTTTCTTGCAGACGTTTCATTATCCAAACTAGGTAACATCATCAGTACTAGAAAGGAGTGAGGTTGTGGAGGAGGAGGAAGGAAAAGTGGGAGGAAGAGGAGGGGAAACAGTAGTAGGAGGGGCAGGAGGAGGAGGACAACTCTGGGGTCCTTGGTGTTCTCTGAGCTTGGTGGTTTTCTTGCAGACGTTTCATTACCCAAACTAGGTAACATCATCAGTGCTAGTAACTAGTGACCAGAACTGATGATGTTACCTAGTTGGGTAATGAAACATCTGCAAGAAAACAACCAAGCTCAGAGAGCACCAAGGACCCTTCATTTCAACCCAGGACTTATAGATTTAAAATGGGAGCAAAGAGAGGGCGGAGAATTCTCTTGTTAAGACGCCCAGGGAAAGAGTAACTTTTGTGACTGTCCTATTAAGAAGAAATGCAAGTCCAATTTGCATGGGCATTTTTATATGCCTTTATATCCCCCGATTTCTTGGGTTTCATTGTGCATCTGTTCTTTTAAAGTTTCTTTTCTTGCTACACTGAAATTCCCATTCTTTATTTCCTCATTGGTTTGCTAAATTTATGTTCCACCTTTGCTCTAGTTTTTCTCCCTTGCAATTTTTCTCAAAATGACGCTTGACTGAGTGAGTGGTCCCAAATCCATTGACTTCCAAGGGCTTGAACCCAAGATAGCCTTTAACCCATCCTATTGCACTTTCTCTCCCATTCACTGGAAGAGAATCACACAAAACACAATCAAATCTACTACTTCTGAGTGGAGATAGATACATTTGCACCACTCGCTGTTGATCTGCTGTGTTTTTAAAGCTTGTGATCACCGCTTCTCTCCCTGAGTGGTCATTGCACAGAGCTGGTTAGGATATTTCTTTTTCAAAGGAAGGACAGACCAAATGCAGGCATGAAATATCTGCTTCCTTGCTTCTGCCTGGCATGGCAAGTTGACCAAGGGATAAGGGCAGCCTTACCTCCACCATGGTTTGATTGCCTCTCAGTGCCAGCAACATGCAAGGCCCCAGTTTGTTCTCAGCCAATGAAAGCAGAAACTTTTTTGTCTTGTAGCAGGAGCCCATTAAAATGTGGACCTGCAGGAGAAAAAAAAAGTTCAAGTGAGAAAAACACAAACACACACAACACATATTTTGGCCCTCTTTCCAACATAGCCAAGAAGGCGAATGGCCAAATCTCGCAAGAATGTTTGAAATACAGTCCAGACTTCTCTAAATTAATGTCTTCTGGATATGTGGAATTATCTATTGCTCTCAATTTCAACATGAGATGATAAGAGTTGGAGTTACATCTATGGAAAATGTTTTAGGGAAGGGATGCTCCAAGTTGAAAATTCTAATTTTCTGATTGCACTCAGCAACAGCACTTAGACTTATATACCGCTTTACAGTGATTTACTGCCCTCTCTAAGCGGTTTACAGAGTCGGCCTATTGCCCCCAACAATCTGGGTCCTCATTTTACTGACCTTGGAAGGACGGAAGGTTAAGTGAATCTTGAGCCACTAAGGATCAAACTTCTGGCCGTGAGCAGTGAATTAGCCCGCAATACTACGTTCTATCCACCAAGGCTCTTGTTCTATCTCTATGAAAATAGGTAACTCGGTGTACACAAGGCAATTCTTAAAACAAAAGTCAACTTGCTTCTCTTTTCAATTTCTTGTGACTTCCAATCTTAGGAGATTTTTACTTCACTCCTTCATCTACTTCTACTTCTACTCTTGTTCTAAAAGGACCAAAACTTTTTTTTTCTCCAGATCAGGGGGGGGCAGAAATCTGTGTCTGTACATAATGTGGAGTGTGTATTTTCTCCTTTGTGAAGATGTAGACTTTAGATAGGAGATGAGTGAATGGGTATCCTATATCTAGTACGAAAGCTGTAAGTTTGGTATATTGTGAATGCAATCAGACTGTAAGGGTAAGAGGGAATGGCCTTGGGAAGGAAGAGGAAGAGCCACAGTCAGGGGGATGGTAGGACAAAAGGACAGCTTAGCCCACAAAAGGAATGGGAGAAGGCAAATATCTCAGAAGGGACTAGTTTCTTGGGCTGTAAAGGGGAGTGGGGGACAGATGTCCTTTGAGACTTGCAAGATTCTGTCAATGTAACCTTGCAATCAAATAGAATTAGCTGATCTGGTTGTGTTTCCTATCTGGATCACCTTGCAAAGCTGACAACATGACAGCAAAAGGGACCGTGAAGAACTGGCACATACCATACTGGCAAACAGTTCCCCATCATCATCACATGCCACGCCACCGGGGCTGTAGAGCTGGAACCAGCCGTCCTTGCCGGCCCGCACGCTCAGCAAACAGGAATGGACCTGGTAGAAGAAAGACAGGTGAGAAGGCGTCCTTCAAAATAATTCTGCAGAGAAAGGAGGAGACCTGTGGAGCTCTAGAATGCTGCTCAATTCCTGTTCCCAGCATCCCTCCTTGTTGCTCCTGCTGATGAGGCGACTAGGAGGTGCAGTATAAGATGCCCCAGCCTTGCAGTAAGAGACATTCCTTCTCATTGGATGGGTACCCAGCTCAGCAACAAAAGGTGTTCTTTGCTCCTGATTAGGCACCAGGTGTTCCACTGGAACACCAATCTTCAGCAGGGCAAGGAGTCTGCAAAATGTGGTCTAAAACCCTGGAGCCGATGGGAAAGAAGGAGAAGACGGCTTTGCCTCCTTGCAAATGAAAGTAGAAAGTTTATATATTTGTTGCAGTTACCCAACCATTTTAGGTCTGGGGTTTCTGAAGAATTCGGGTTCTCCATCCAGATGTTTTAAAATGTTGGCACTCTGTCCTGGATGCTCAACACAAATATGCCCTCTTACGTTGATTATCCATCCATCTACTCATCAGGGGTGGGATGCAAATATTTTTACTACCAGCTCTGTGGGCATGGCTAGGTGGGCATGGTTGGGTGGGTGTGGCCATGTGAATGGGTGGGCGTGGTTTTTCTTCTTCTTCCAGCAACCCCACCCCCCCTGCACTCCGTTTTTTTGCCTCCTGGGCGAAGCAGTAAGACAGCAAGGGGGATGCCAGCACAGCTGATTGTTGGAACAGCTGATCATCAGGAGGAAAGAAAAAAAAAAGAAATACCGGCTCAGCTGAACTGGTAGCTGTTTTTTTTTCACTACAGGTTTCAGCCAAATGGTAACATTCTTTATTACAGGTTCACACGAACTGGGCCGAACTGGTAGAATATCACCACTGCTACCCATCCATCCATCCATCCATCCATCCATCCACCCACCCACCTATCCATCCATCCATCCATCCATCCATCCACATACCTACCAACCTATGCATCCACGCATCCACCCACCCACCCACCTATCCATCTACCTACCTACCTATCCATCCACCTATCTACCTATCCATCT